AGTCTTTTAAACACGGCGTCAACAAAATTACAAAGTTCGAAGCACTGGGAAAGAAAGAAAGAAAAAAAAACGTGACATGAGATGCCATGTGAAGTAACAACAATGACAACGAATAATAATGCTTACTGATAGGTGACGACAGTTCAGACCGCGGGCGGGTTCTTTGATTCGTGTAAAAGTATATGGACACCTCAAGTCTATGGTCAGATTGCTTGTCACGATTAGTTCGTCATCACCTGAATACGTCTGAACGTTGGTCAATTGTCGAACTGCCAGGATAATGCAATATTCGGGATCATTAATAGAGTCTTGTGGCGGTAATCATAAAAGAACCTTTCTATCTTACCAAGCGCTTTTCCGACGGCTTCTGATATTAGCTGAGATCTAGCCCAATACAAGATAACATCACGCGTTTCTCGAAGTTGCACTTCGATAGAAAGTACGTGATCCTAAGATGCAATACATCATTAACATGTGGAGATAGGTGAACTCAAACAACATTTAAATAACATACATTCAGCTTCTTGTAGCAACCATCACAGGAACACTGCTTGATTCCAACTTTGTTTACACCGGCAACGATCAAGTTCGAAACTTCGACGGAACTGTCATTTCCCTCATAGTGTTCGTAATTATCTCGATCATAGTAGGATCTTTTCTGTGGTGACGTAGAACATTCGATCGTTTAAGTTTCACGGGTCAAAAAAAATTCAATTGATGCGACAAAAAACTTACGCGATGCAATTTCACCGACGTGGAATTTATGAGTACTTCAAATACATGTATACTTTCATCAGGCCAATCGCACATATTCTCGTGGTTCATACAATTTGATTTTCGGCAAATCAGACGGTATGTAATTGGTAATTGATCCTCTGGTGTATCAGGCTTCGGCTTTGACATGCATGACCTATAAAAATTCGGTTACTGACGGAGAAAATATAAAATCGCACCGAGGAAATAAATTTAAAAACCTCAAAATCCGTGAATGTTGTTCGGGAGAGACATAAAAAGTATTCGTGACAGGGTAAACTGCGCTTGTGCGCGTACCATGGATATCATAAGGAAGCATCACCGGACCCCAAGCATTATTAATAACTCTATGGGTATAATTCGGATCAAAATGTGGAGCG